AACGCGACAGGCGACATGTGACAAGCGCTTGTTGTGACACGTGACAATACAACACTGTAGGTGTTATGCTGCTCGGGTACACAACAATAACTACAGTATAACAACAATTACATTCAGTTCACGGAATCAAGCGTAAACATCCATATTTACTCTTACTACAGCAAAAAACTGTGAAGCAGATCAAAATTGGCATTGTTAAACATCATATTTTAAATCGTATAATATCGAATTTGATATGACTTGTTTCTTTATATGAGGTCTTGAAAGTAAAAGAAATATAACAAGAAACATATTTAAAAACAAGAAAAGCCTAGTTTAACGAATGAATAGACACGATTATTAAATGTTATATTTAATTCTAAATAACGAAAAGTTTTTTTTTCGTAATAAACCGATGTCAATTTGTGCACTCGACTTGCAAAATATTTAACAGCAATCCGATACTCATCGGGATCCGAATCAAATGTAATTTGATCCAAACAGATTGGGACAATGCATCAGTTTACAAACAACACGGTGAAGGTTGCCTGCGAGCATTTCAAATATCGTATTTCTTAATTACGAAAGATACATCTCTTATAATCTTTATTTATGACAGTATGACAGAAATATGTAGGTATTGATTAATGATCTCAAACATATTGAAATGGTTATACAATGTCTATGAGTTAGTTAGGTTTCATTAGAAGCATATCAAGTTCGTGGTGGAACAATAGTCGTCAATGTTGTTAAAAGTCAGACAATATGTTACATCGCAATATAGATTACTAGCCTTTGACCGCAACTTCTTCCGCGCACAATTAAAAAAGCTAGTAATAACTACAACCTATGTTTCTCAGTGATAATGTTACTTTCTAATGGCTAAAGCATTTTGTTCAATAAGTCCAATAATTTTTAACATTAATAAATCTTTCCTCTTTTTAATATCGGTATATAAGTATAGATATGGATTAGCAAAGTATTGTATGTTTGTTTGTTTGTTTGCAGGACAGATGCGCAAGGTGTGCGGGCGCGATGTCTGCGGTGATGAGCACGCTGTCCATGATCAGCGGCGGCCGGCGCGCGCACCGCAAGCTGGCCAGGTAACACACACGCACACACCCACACACCCACACACACACACAGACAATATCTATAAACTAAATATTTCATCACAAGTAAAGGACTATATGAAAAATAGTTACTTGAAATATTTCCTTGAAACTTCAAGTTTATTCATACACAAAGAAAAAAACTTCAAATTAATTTCAATTGTTATACGAATAATATATTTTTTTACATATATTTATAAACAAAGAAACCGCTTATAATCTATTTAGTATTTATTTTTATGTTAAGAGCAGCTAAGTGGTGTGATCTGATCCAATTTTGACAAATTAAATTGTTATTTACCGTTATTATTAATCTCAAGAGATTCATAACAGCTAAGCCTTGACTTACACTTGTAATTTGACAATGCGCTGCGTTGCTAGTTTTTCCTCAGCCTTATTAATAAACTTCTTATATTGACAACAATGGTTTGCGTTTCGTGACAGCAGCAGCAGTAAGATTGTTCTCACTGTACACAATTAATATTGTTTAACAATAGCTAACGCCTGTCTGCAGTTGCCCAACGACACTGCAGTCTATTAATCAGCAACAAACAAAAACAATAATCAATGCAGTCTGTCACTACCTTAACATTGTTACTGCGGATTATTATAGAAATATTCACACATTAAAATTATTTGATATTTTTGTTGTTTTTACTCGAATAATACAAGCAAAAAAGCAAGAAACATATTTGCAGTATCTTTGAATATTACCTAGGTAAGAAAATAAGTAAAACTGTTGCAAATCCAGTGTTTTTATTCACTAATATCAGAAGATTTAATGATTTGGGGGCACGACATAGCTTTCATCTATGATAATAAATAAACGGCCAAGTATTATCATACTATTTACCCACTTAACCACATCTCTTGACGCTCTCGATCATTGTAAAGCCGCTTTAAGTTGTCATAAAGCGCTTAAAGCGGAGTTATCACTGGGATTATCGAGTGGTCTGGAATTTTTAAGGGCCTTTTAAGGCTTAGTGCCAATTATCAGATACAGACGCTGCGCTGTGTGGCCATTCCAAACGAGGCGGATAAAACATTACCTTAAGCTATATCGATTGAAAAAATAGATTCAGTTTTCTTAACTGTAATTATCTGAGAAACATCTGTAAGATTGGCAGCTACAACTGTACTATAAAGTTTTATTTTAGGTAGAGTAGCAAAAGGCGTTTACTTATCGACTTTTACCGCAATACTTAGGTGTTCAAACTTGCAATATTCGAACACAAGTTAGTAATATAAAGTATCTCAGCAATTTCTCTGTATGTAATTAAAACGAAGAGGAGATAGAAACGCGACCGCGAGGCGCGCATGTGTCGCACTCTAGTGAGCGCGGCCGACACGCTACACACATCGCGGTCGCAACATACGAGTACAACAAGAATTACATACATTATACTTTATAGGAAGTTATGGTAAAAAGTAAAAACAACGTTTAAGGATTTAAATAAACTTGTATATAATATCCTTTTTATAATAATCACTATGGAGGTATATGTCCGATCCCTAGCACTGCTCAGAGCAAAGT